ATATACAATACACCTATATATATTATAATCAATGGTACATTATAGGTACCTGATTGAGTAATATAAACAACTAAACAAGCAAAGCCTTTCGCACGTTCAACATCAACTTTCGAATATGTTTGATTAAACGACCTCAATATTACTCAACTGTCAACGAAATAAGTATTAAAACGTGAGCTGATTTTAACTTTGAATATTCATATTCAGTAACCAGATACCTATGTCAAATGATTAGATACAAAAAAATACGAGTATTATTTAATAATATTACTTTAATATTATTCATTGATTACTATGAAGTATATAAATAAGTATGATAAATACAATTTTTTTTCTTTCGAGGTAACTTTTTTTTATTCTTAGAAAATGTGTTGATAAACCTAAATATTTTCTTAGATTTATAATATTAGGTCATAGTTTTTCGGTTAACACTATACCTACTTCCAATTTTGATGAGAGAGCGAGCGAATAACCTCTATGAGATTGCAAATTGAAACTGTGCGAATGTACCTATTTACCATCGCATATTATACCTATTGTACCTACCTACTAGTGATGTGTCGTTACTTCGGGCGTCGTTCAAAACCGCACACTTACCATTCATAACCAAACATTTTGTCTATTGTTAAAAATGGAAATTTTGAAGGTCGATAATTCAAAACCACACACATTTGAGTGACGGTTAACAATGTATCATTAAATGTAACATTTATTAAAATTAAATAAATCGTCGTAAAAATAATTGTATGCAAAGGTTTTATAATTTTAATATTAACATAATTGTATTTGTAATTAATTTAATATAATATAATAAGAAAAAATAAATTGCTCGATGAAAAAAAATTACTGTTAACGTTGGAGTAGTCACATCCCGTATTGTTTTCAAATAGTCTATCGAAGTTATTTCAGTGCTTGCGAAGCGATCAAATAAATTATTGCGGTTCAAAACGATAATGTGATTTTAGATAAACGTGTACGTTATTGGTAAATGTCAGTGTGTGAGGTATTGAACGGTATAATTTTGGGAAAACTGTGCGGAATCGATGTATTTTTACATAAAATATAATATGTACCGCGGTTTTGAACGACGACCTTTTGTTTTGAAAGTGTGCGGTTACTTCGGTATTCGTTCCAAAGTAATGAGTACAAGAGTACACTGGTGTAACGAGTATACCAAAGACCCCCCCGACAGTGAACAGACGGGTAAATGTCGTCACTATTCGTTTCTACGTTCAACCGGTACAAACGGTACAAGTACACTTAATACGTAATATTATAATTTAAATAGTACACGTTGCACCGCTAAAATGCTAGGCGCAATGTATTCGTTCCAATGGAGAAACGAGTGCACTTGATCGGTCGAACATGTCCCGCGCATCCGAGTTATGTTATGTAATATTGGGTTATACTAACAATATCGTACTGATTGGAACAAATCCACAAAAGGAACGAAAATTCCCATCACTATAACTACCTACGAAATAATAATAATTTAATCGAAATAAACTAATATTCTTATCGTAAATACCTGCTAAATGGCACACGTGCAGCGGCTATGAGACACACGTCCGCCTAGTCGGACACGCGAATACAAATCTATTAATATTTCGTACATTTCACGGACACTGTTATGATACACTATAATATTGTATTAAACTAATAATAATTGTAATGTCCGGTGTCGATTAAATGCAAGCGGATAGAAATGTACATATACAAGCCATAGCACTGGCCCGTGGTATCAATCTATTATAGCTACCTAATTATACGTTTCCGAAAATGATTACCTACACTTTCATCAGACTTGACGTAAAGTAACGTTAACTGTATTCAAACATATTTAGAGAACTCTTATTGACACCGACATCTTCCACAGGTGTTTTTGATTTCGTACGTAATGAGTCGAGGGCAGAGGACTTGTAGGCAGAAAGTCGCCAAATATGCATTTGAATACCCAAAATATGTATTTACATGCAAAATAAAAATATATACCTAAAATATGCGTTTCAAAAATAAAAACAAGCATATTTTTATTATATTATTATAACTTTAGAGGACGTCACACCCACATGACAATTGTGCATTTGTGTTGTCTCCGTCTTACAGACGTCAACATAGCAAAAACTGTTAAAAAGCGAAATAGAACCGCTCAAGCAGTATTCCAAGTTAAAGAACCAAATTTTCATACTATTAAGAGGAGAACATTTACTGTGCAACATTGTTTTTATTTATTCGATAACACAAATAAAAGAAAAATTGTTATTGTTTAAAAATTCATTATTTCAAACTTGAACAACTTTTTATGTGTTTGTGATATCGAAAAAATAAAAACGATATTGGACAGTAAATAGTCTATTACATTATTTAAAGTGTGAAAATGTGGTTGCATAGCTTGGACTACAACTTGAGTGGTTCTATTTCGCGCAAAACAGTTTTTACTATGTTGTACATTTATGAAACGGAGACAACACAATATGCGGGTATGGCGTTCTCTTAAGTATTAGATGTTATTATAATTTATAAAATGATCAGGCTTTTAGGAAAATCCGAAGCCAGTGGGACCAGTCAAAAACCATACTGTACGACCAAAATTAAAAATAAATTTATGTTTTGGTTTTATTATTTAAAATAAATGTCAGTGGAAAATAAATTAAGTTAAAATATGTTAAAAATTTAAAAGATGCATTACATGCATTTTTGTATGCAAAATAAAATTTCAAAACTAGCTTTGTGAAAGCACAAGACATTTTGTTTCATAATTTGTTATTTTGGTGACTGTGCACAACAAATATGCAAATACTACAAGTCCTCTGCCCTAGACTAATGGCATTATACACGGATTGATGCCCAAAAATAAAATAATAGTAAATACAATTCTACAGATATCTATATATTTGTTATTGTCCGTATTATTAGTGATGTATTTTTAGTAATTACATATTATAAAAATTAATATAATGAACATTGCATAATGACGACGACGTATTTACTTTGCGAAGACGAATGTGCTGCGATGACTTGTGAGCTACATTTGAAAAATTTAATTTGTCATCATTGTAATGAAAACAAAAACGCTGTACGCAAAATTAAAAACAATCTCTACAGATGTAAAAGTTTACCCAAGCGCTTAAGAAATCAAACGATCAATAAAAATTGCAATGTCACGTTACAATAAATAATATTTGGGTGTTAGAGAAAACATATTATTTTGAAGATATTATTGTGTACCTGTCAGTACGTTTTTCTATGACATATTTTCGGGAAATCTTATTCATAAATATAATTTTTTTTTTATCTGTTTCTGATCTGAAGTATTAGGAACCTATACCTACGTACCTACAACCCACCTACTATTTATATTGTACGGATATCATTGATATATTTTACTGAATTAGAGTTTTGGTAACTGTGAATACAAGTTAAATAAAACTCTGGCTCTCGACTGTTTCAATTATTTTATACTTATTTTATGACAATTAATCATTGTATTTTGATAACTTAGATGAATTCGATAGATAATTAAACAAATATTTATTAACAGTCAAATTAAGTATCTTTAAATAGTAAGTTTCGTTTAAATAATTTGTTTACAATAAAAATATTTAAATCGACATACGTTTACTATTAAGTACGCACATAATATATATTTTTTATTACATTATAAGTATTTCACATAAAATTATTATTTGTAGCTTCGTTTGTATTTTATAGAGTTACGGCTCATTTTTCGAGGTTTGTAGTTGCATTTTATGTCCTCAATATTTAAACTACGCCAATAACAGCCTATTCACAGAACGATAAAACTTGCCAATATTCTCTCCCTTCTTCTGATTTATACCAATCAAAGTTCATAAAAACGCATTTATTTTTTTCTCTATTGTGTTCGATTTTATTTTATTATTTATAGAACGACTTGATTATTTTTATCTCAACAATTTTTTTTTTATAGATTTCTAATATTAAATCCTTACAATCGTTTCATTTTTAATCATACACACGCACACACACACACGCACACGGCACACATGGTTATTTTGTACGATACACAATATTATATTTCCATTACATACCTAGGTATTGTTAAATATTGTATTTTACAGGCGTTCAAAATGAAGTATTCTTTAACATTGGTTCTTAAAACATGCGGATACAATTTATTATTAAATACGAACTGTGAATATTTAAAAGCATTTTAAGCCATATAACGTTTTATTGTTTATTCAACTTATTATAAATGTATGAAAAAAGTTCAGTGTAAAATATGGTACAAAATTATTTTAAAAATAGTGGCATAAATATAGTGAACTAATTTCTTAGATTATGGTTTCAATTTACAATCATTAATTTCCTGCATGTGTTTTGTGCTCAATAGTTTTTAGAGTGGAAAATATTAATATCCCTATCGATATAATTTTTTTAAGACAGACGATTTTTGGCAAATGATATTATTCCTGTTTACCATCTTCATAAAAAAAACCGGGCAAGTTGCCCTGATCACCCTGTATCTAAACTAGTAACTACTTTTATATAAGGTGATGCAAAACTATATAAGACAAACGTGTGGGTGTTATATATTTTGGCACACTACTACTCCAACACCCGATCGTTATCTTCTCCTTCCCACTCCCACTATTTCCCTACACAACTCTTCCTATCATGAATTTACCTCACTAAGAAAATGCCCGCGGCTATTTTCGAGTCTAGTGCGAGTCGCGGTTACGACAAGACATTTTTATTGTATATAAAAATATGTTTAATTTCCATTCGCCGGCGGTTTTTTTTTTCATTCCAGTGTATATGCGTAAATTAAATATTTAAATCTCGTACGAAAGTAAAGATTGCTTCTTTAGATAATGTATCAATTTTTGTTTTAAAATTACTTTCCGATCTAAATCGATAATATTGTTTTTAACTGATAATAATATTAATGAATTGTATACCAAGTGTTTATATAATATTAGCTTAATGTGTGTTTGTATTTGTTGTGCTTGAATAAAACAATGTCTGAACCGAGCAGTTCACGTGACGAAAATGAGGATAAGCCCCGAAAATGTAGCTTCAAGTTAATAACAAGAAAGAAAAAAATAACAAAAAAAAGCTCTCGAATTAGTATTGGAGAATGTAATGAAGCAATGGCTAAAACTTGGGAAAAAGAGTCATTTAAAGACAGAAAAAATAGAGGTTCCAAACGAGAACGATGGTTATTAACACGAAAAACGTGGAGATATATGGCAGATGCTGGTAGAAAATTGATACCGGAAAATGTTGGAAATCGACCCGAAGATGTACCCAAAATCGAAGCATACTTTCAAGACGTGTGCCAAAAGGAACCTAGATTTTTACTATGGAGGAAACAATCATACCCCGGAGCTTTAGGGTTCAGAAGTCGAGGTAGACCAAGGGGAAACAGATTTAAATTAGGTAGTGTCCGAGAAAATGCTAGTAGTGCGGACGAAGCGGAAAGTACAGTTAAGGTACCTAGTGTATCATTTTTGGCGCATCCTAGACCAGCAGGAAGATATGAACTTCAACAACTCAGAAAAGAATTTTTATTCGGTTCAACTGAAAATAATAATGCACTGTTATCAAATTATCAATATCCTGATTCCAAATCAGACTTAGTTCAATTTATTAACGATTATATTAGTAATCCTGAAGAAACAACGCCAGTTGAAGAGTCTTCTTTTGATCATGAACAACTTTTGGAAAAACTAGAAGATTATATATCAAAAACAAATGATACACGTACATTAGAAAATAATAAGAAACCTTTAAGAACAAGCATATTGGAAAGTGACAACACACAAAAAAATTTATTGGAAACTTTAAGAAGGTACTACGCAAGGTCGACAAACAGAGAAAAAGTAATAGGAGATATTTTAATGGATAGAAAACTGTTGGAAAACTTGTACTTTGAATTAAGGAAAACAAGAGGGTTTTTGGGCCGGAGAGTAATTGGTTCATCGTCAAATTTAGGACTTAATTCTATGAATTATTTTAATTCTGCTTGGAATGATAATCAAAGAAAATACGATAGAATAAATACATCGTCTGAGTATCTCAATATATTCAATGATAAAAAAAATAAATTGTTTTTACCAAATGATAAATCGTACAACCTATCATCTCCACCACCTGTTATAGAAATTGAAGATATGGAAGCAAAGTACATCGATGTTGGTATTCAAACTGTGCCATTGGAACCAGCAATGTTAGGACTAATCGAAGATGAGAGTAAAAGAAAACTCGATTTAATTGAAATACCCGATGTTGTATCGAAAGTTTCTCCGAAAGCTACACAACGCAAAGCTAGCATAGAAAACGACGATATATCACCATCTGTAAGTGACACAATAAAAAGATACTTGAGAATGGCAAGAAAAAAAAGTGTTGAATCTGATAAAATAGATAGGTTTAAACGAGTGAACTATGATCGTAATATAAGAAATATTAAAGGTAAAGGAGAACCAGATATATGCGAAGGTGATGATACTAATAAATCAGTACAAACAGACGATTCGTGGATTTCAATTTTAAAAAATATTGATGACAATTCTAATTCAAGAATAACCAGTTCTAGGAGTAGTATTGATACTGGCACGACCTTTAGTGGAGAAGAACTGTTATCACCTCCTTTATCCCCACCGAAGTCTCTTAACGGTAATACGACAGTTCTATGAAATATTATGTAACTCAAATAATCTTCATACGCATTAATAAAAATAAAATATGTTTTAATGATTTATATTCTGGAGTTAGTAATTTATTATGGCCTAGAATATTATATTTATATATAATTAATGAACTAATAATAACCATATTATTTACATATTATATGATATGTTATATGTATTTTTTTTAGATTCAATTTTATACAAGTTTACTGTAAATAATTAATTTAATATTATTTTTTTAGCCCCCGGAATGCAGAAGTCAAGATCTTCAACAAATGTTCAGCAAGGGTTCATGTCCAAACGTATATGGAAAGGGCGTTCAAAAAGTCAAACTAGAGCAAATACTGTTGTATCTCCTTGGACGCCATTAGTAAGCATTTCTATTATTTTATTAGATCAAAATATGTTATTTTCAATATTTTCTAATTAAATAAGTTTCATAGCATGAAAATAGATCATAGTATTCATAAAACAAAAATATAAAATAACCATATTTTTAAAAATTTTGATATAAATGTGACATCAAAATAATAAAATTTAAGTTTTTGAAAAAAAATAATGGTGTAAACAATCATTATTTTGTTGAACTTAATCAACAATATTGCATGTACGTATTACTTTACAGTTTATGTACGGAGGTACGTAAAAACATTAAAATTGCCTGCATATTTAATTCTCACACATTTCAAAATATTGTATTATTGACTAAATACATATTTTAGACCAAAATCTCTCTTGTCACCAAGTCAAGAAATACACTGGTTGTTGGCAGTCCCAAAATGATCTATAACAGAAATCAAGGTTATTAGTTATTACGTACGGAAAATTTCAGCAACAAAAATATGACATTTTGTGAATTTTTACCTAACCGTACTAAAAACAACTTATTCTCTAGTTATTACAAAATACCACTATATTGTCTATCTAGGATAAAAAAAATAAATTTAACACATTATCAAAAAAATTAATTTAATTCATAGATACAACAGACGTGAAAAGTAAATACAAGAAATGCTGTGCGATGACGTAGGTAATACTTATAATTTAGTGCATATATTATGATTTTCGTAAATGAGCCCTGAAAATTGAAACTGTGCAGTACCTTCAATTTCATTTTGGTACAAATAAATAAATCACTGAAATTATCGCGAATAAGCTAGAAGTAAAAATAGTTAATTTCATTTTCTACTCATATATTAATTTATTCATCTATTAAAAACCAACCTCGAACAGATTAATTATTTAATGTCGTTAAACAAATAATAAATACATTAAAAAATAATTATGTTTTGTGCGTATAATATATGTTATATATTATTATAATAATATATATGATGTGTTTTTGTGTTGGGATAATAATATAATAAACAGTTGGGCGTACATTAAACAAGAATTCGAGTAAAACCTATGCACTAAATAAACAGATTTTAGTATCTTATTAATTATATTTCAACATTTGTTGAATTAAAGAATGTAACTAAATCAAAATTAAAGTATTGGTAATGGGTGAGCTTATTTTGTCAAAACATTTGTAGACATTTGAATAAACACGGACGAGATCCAAATATAAAATAAAATAAATATATTATACTGTTATAAACTTGTTTCTTTGGTTCGCTCGGATAATATATAATGTTAGTTAATTACTGGCAGCCTTTACAAGACCTTTCGCTATATTAATACATTTTATAATTTGTTTTCATTTATGAATTTATGATCTCTATTAATCCGTAGCAAGGGCCATTTTAGTTATTAACAGAGCTGTGCATTTAATGATTTTACATAATATAATCGACGAATTTCATTCTGAATTCAAAATAAATTGGATAAAATTTAATACACGAAATTACCATTGCATACACATTTTAGACGTTAGTGCATAGAATTGCATTCAACTTTTATTTTTGTTTTTCATTTTTATTGCGTATTTGGAGGGGGGACTAAATTTTTCTATCTATATATACATAATATGTATGTATAAATAAATATTGTTTAACATAAATTCTCAAAAATATATAATTTATCTTAAAAGCTTATCTATTTATTTATTTTCGTTGTATACATTCTATTCAAACTATTTATTACTATTCAAGCCATATATATTATACGTTGTTAAAAGTTTTTTTATTAAATTATTTTTGATTAATTTTCTCATATTTTGAGCATTTTTAAAAAACATATTTCCCAATTTAAGTGTATGAGTGAATACATTTTTCATGGTTTTTTAGTGCATTAAATGCACCGCCCTAGTTACTACTTTTTTACTGTGTTATATATAACCAAAACATTTTTGACCTACCTATATTTTTTATTCGATTGCGTATGACTATAGTATATAACCATACCTAAATAATATACGAAATAAATACTTGGTAAAAAATTGAAGATTATGATTTATTTTGTTTTAAATTTATGTATTTTGTGACGTTAAAAAATACTATTAAATAGAAATTGTTCAGTCAGACTTAACTTTGAAGTGATGACAATTTTTAAGTTCTGCCAATTGTATGGCATTCTGTTAAACATATTATAATACAAGCAATTGCGAACACGTGATATATTAAGTCGGCATTGGTCACGGGTCTGGTATCTAACTGGCACTAGGAACGGACCCGTTTCTAATCCATATATATTATGATTAACATAGTTCAATTGAACACCACAGTCAACAAACTTTTGTTCCAATTTTTTAATTTTTTAATTTTTTTACTTTTGTATTTTACTTTTAATTTACAAATACACTTTAATTTAACCTAACCTCTAAAATGCAAAATAACATCAATGATACATGCGGAACGGCTTTCGTAATCATCGTAACTATATTATGAGGAATAATTTTTATCATAATATGCTGTTCACAATATCCTATACGCGTAGTATAATTTCAATCCCTAACAATCTATAGTGAATTTTAAATCAACTTATTGAATGCATAGTGCAATAACGGTCTTCAGTTAAAAAATAATAGTATCTTGTACCATAATTGTGACTAAAAATATCCTTTAATTTGCTGTAAAAAACACGTCTGGTAAAAAAAATATTCATCGGGAGTGACAAAATAATGCAAAAAAAATTGAGCGATTTTAGTTAGTAATTGATACAGTTGATACTTTTGTCGGATATCAAACCACCGACTATTATTGGAACTTGCTTCCAATACCTAGTCTTTATACGACGAATATATAATCCTACTTACCTAACAAAATAATCGGGAATACATACCGAAACTTGGTGTGAACATCGCACCCGAATTTTGCTGTTTCAAGTAACCGTAAGATATACCACATTTTCTTTCAGTAGTTTCAACAATGTGCTATTAATTTTGATATTAGAGTGAATTGGCATATTATAAAATTGATAGTTAAGATTATTATCTAGGATTATTATCTCGCTCGTAAGCTTTTATTGGTACTATTATTTTTAAGTATGTTATGATCATTTTAAAATGTACAGCTTCAAGCATTTGTCGCATAACTCACTCAAAAATAATAATATCAATAAAAGTGTATTTGGAGGCCCAAGAACTTAATTTCAAATTGTATGATAAATCAAATCACTTAAATATCAAAAAATAACAGCACACTATTGAAACTGGTGTACGGAAAAGTGATAAGTCGTACGTGTGAAAGACGAAGGCAACGCATGAGGAGTCGATGTCTTCTTAAACAGCGTTAGCCTAATACAGACTAGTGAATACAGTAGTACGTATCAACTAAGCACTTGACCACTGCACGGCAGTTAATACAATGAGGAAAGTTTTTCATTTAGATTGGTTATAATATAAGGCTCAGATTTTCAGAAGCTTGGAACTTATAAACAACATGCCTAGTAATAATAAAAATAAAAAAGGATATTTAAAATTATAAAAATATAAATACTTTTATAATATTCAATAGTTATAAATAATATAACTGTATAATTATATACCTAAATCAAATAATTACGTAAAATATTAGAATACAAAAAAAAAGTATGACGTTATTAATGTTTACAAAATACAAATATTTTTTCATTGGAATGATTTTTAAATGTAAATAATTAAAATTATTTGATTTTAAAATTTTGACGTTTATTTTAATTGTTATTCATTACAAAATGACCTTAACACGTCGAAAAGTACAAAATGAAAATTAGTTATTTTTGACTTGTATATTACCAAAGCATATTTTCAGATATGAAAGTACTTCGTCTAAGACTTTCTAAAAAAATAATTCAAAAGCCATTATTATCGAGCCCTATAGATAGATGTAACAATGGGTCGACAGTAAAAGGTCACATGATGTAAGAAATTGGAAAGCCACGTATATAAAATCCTAGCCGTCAGAAAGACAGGTTTCTTCAGCACCACTTTTTTCGAGATGTATTCTTAAAAATATAGAAGATATTGTCGTACCCAACTCACTCTTTTACCTAACAGCTATAATAATCATCATCCTGATGTAATAAGTTTACAGCGATCAGGTAGAGAGAGGTACCGTTTATGGGCAGTGCACGATGAATGCACGACAAATTAAGGCGGGAGAGAGAGATTCTTTCATCCACAACCTTAAGATATTACTCAATCATTACTACATTAATTATTGAAGTCAATAGTAACTCAAATAACGCATTTGAATAACAATTTTAGGGAAAGATCAGCATAGGTCAGTACCCATGTCTATTGAGTATTTTTAATTGTACAACAATTATTATGTTGATAAAAAAAAATTTAGTTTCCTAATCTGAACGATATTAATAAGCTAAAATGTTGGTATGGCTAGTTGAACATTAAACTTTTGCGATCTAGCAGTCTCAATACATAAAACGAGAAAAAATTATATTTTTCATAGTAGAAATGTAAAGTTAGTATCAAGCATAGACCTTATACTACTAGACAAGAACTGTGTAACAACTTCTCGATGTAGGCTGCCTTCGCGACAAAATACAATAATCTACATATCTTACATTCTTACCATACTGCCCCCAACTACCATATATACATATCGAGTAAACAAAAAGCGCTCTCAATGTTGTTACACTTTACACACACTCATTGCCTGTCTATAATAGTACAAGGTATATGGTATCTAGGTACTTACCTATAAATTAATAATTGATTTACTCTTACAGTTAACTATATTTACTCTTACTGTGCCTTGGCTGTTCTATTAATAATTGTTTAGAAAAATAAAGGTATTAATGTTCATTTATGAATGGAAAAAAACGAAACGAAATGTCAAATTTAAAAGTATATACAGTAGTATGATCGGGTTATTCGATGTTTGAAGTATTTATTTTATGGATAACATGATTTAAAACAAATCTAAATCGCATTTTTACTAAAGACTGACGATTTTTAAAATGCATTACTTAAAGTCTTAAATATTCGAATATTGTAAGAATAAAAATATTCACTACTTGATTGTAAAAAAAAGAAGAAGAAAAATATTTAAAAAATTGGGGGTATTTAGTTAAAAAACATTTTTTTGTAAATCAAGTAGGAAGTTTCTTAGCCAAAGTTAATATTATTCTTGGCACAAATCACTCATAGGTTAATTTTGACCCCCTCTCGACGTAAAAAATTTGACAAACAATATACTCGAATAATACTAATTAGATGTTTCGTGTAAACTGTCTAGGTGAATATTATACTATCTCAAGAGCTGTAACATGTTTTTGGCAATATTTATAATTGGCTAAGCATTGTAAAATAATTTAAAAGAGTTACCACTTGTTTTCCTGATATCATTACCTGCAATAAACATAAAAGGGGTACCTAAATAAATTAGTACATAAACTGAATATTGTAATGAATCTTTAATTAATAATTATACTTACGAATATTAAATTAATTTAATTTAATTTAAAAATGGTTTAATATATGCAAAAAATGTAACATAATATCTCACCATAATCCACCATGAAAAGCAACGTGAAGCACTCACTTATAAAAGCATATACCATATTTTACTTAGGTACTACAAATATCATTAATTTTTAACAATATTTAGTAGGTACTTACTTGTTTGAGTGTTAGATGCTGTTAAAAAGTTGTTATTTGCCCAATTGAACCCGGGAGGTGCCAACTTAACCATAGCACCACAATATTAGACTAACACACACCCTATATTATATAATTTTACCACAATTAAAGTATCATTCAAAATGTAACTTTTTAGAAAGTATGAAATTTATATTGAACAATAAATATGTTAACTTTAACAATAAACATAAAAATTAATAAATCATAATAATCACTCATCGGACACAATTTTTAGGGGAATTGTTTATGGCTACACGCTAGTGGGAAATCGATCCTGTTAAAGGTAAATATGAAAGCTATTCTATTCTTTTCATTAATTTATGCAATAATTATAAAAAAAATTAATTATTTATAGGATTTATGTCTACTGGACCTAACCGATCTTGAAAAAGAAATACTATCGCTTGTGTCCCTAAATAAACTTCAGGAAATAAGTCTTGGAGTTCCAGTACGAATACCAACAGGTAAATAACCATCTTAATCGTTTTAAAAACTTTAATAAATAATATTAATGCTTAAAGATATATGTTTATAAATAATATTAACATAAAAGTTTATTTAATAGTCATAATTTTAAAACGTTTATTTTTTAGAGAAACAAAACATATAGTTCAAAAATATTATTCAGTTTAAGAGACACGTGTCACATTCATACCTTGTAGGTGTTTCTGTCAGTAAATTTTTTCTCAACTAATACTCTTGAGCTACAATTTAAAAAAAAAAAATTGGTTACTGAATATAGAGCTAAAACGTACAGTATGTTCTATTGAACAAAAAATTAAAATCTAATTTTCTTTTTCGCGTTTTTAAAATATTCAGATCTTAACGGTGCTAATATTTAAAAACATTAAATAACAAATTTGCCTGAAGGATTTAAGTTGCAATTTAGATTGAGAGAAATTTACAATAGTTACAGGGTAGGCGATATATAGCACAAATATTCACTTAACCCACTTGAAAGTAGCATGGAGTCAATATGTTGAAATTGCAATTGCTCGATATTTTTTTCGATATTTTTGTTTTTACTTATGCATAAAATAAAATAAAATGTGTTAACATTTAGAAAAATATCAAAAAATAGTACAAGAAAAAATAACATTATCGTTGTAAAAGCTATTATATTCTTCGCTTCACTAAAAATCTAAAATTATTTTAATTTAGTGAATAATGAATAATGAGTTACAGATTTTACAATATGAAACACTTCATGCCATTCTATACATCGTATGTTAAATGTTAAACAAATACATTTATGTTAGTTTCTTGATTTATAATTTGTAATACATTTTTAAATAATATTTAATTATTATTGTTCCTAATAATAATAATTAAATATTTTATTGAATTTTACTAAAAAAAAAAAAAAAAATGTAATATTTATAAAAATTATTTTTATAATTATTATTTAACTGCCAAAACTATTACTTATAATAAGAATGTATTTATAAAAGATTTTACTACTTAAAATATTTTAATATTATAATATGCACACAGGGTTAGAAATATGAATTATGAAATATTTCAATAATAAATAGGTATTCAAAGACTAAAATTTCAGAAACGAAAAAAATTGTTTACTTTTTATTTGGCAAAAGTCCATATCCAAAACAAAATTTATGTCATTATGTTCTGTATGCATTAAATAAGTATCAATGTGAATTTTTCTTTACAATTTATAGCTTCTTTGTATTATCTAAAACCACTGTCGTTTTTGAACTTGTTTTATTTTTTCGTAATCTGTTAAATTATCATATAACAATATTTTGCATATTATAATATACGCGTAGTGATAAAATATATTACACATTTTATTTAAATGTAATCTCGTCGGATATTTGAACGCAAAGGTGGTGTACATTCGGTTTGTTTACAGGAAATGTTTTATCAGCTGGTCCTAAAAAACGAAGACCATATCTTTTGAAAAGAAGAGCAAATACCACCGGCAACTTGAAAGATAAGGATGATAACGGTAAGATATTAAAAAATATATTTTCTTTCGTATACTTTTAAATTAGGTACCTATAAACATTAAAAATTGAGAAGATAACAAGGATAGTATCATAGTTTTCTGTGACGTACACACAGGCTAGTGCGTTATATCACCACCTTTCACCCGTACCACTATATATATATTTCAAGTAACCTATACTTTTTGGTTAAAAGCCAGATGAACGTATAATAGATTTTTTGTGACAAGTCTGATAGAAATCCAATCCAAATGAAAATGCCTCGTGCGCTACTAATAACTATTGTACATGGGGAGTGTGTTGTTTGTTGAAATTTAGATATTTATGTAATGTATATATTAGGTAAGCGTAATTTCATTAAATTTTAACTACAGCAAAACTAAAAAAATCATTGGCTTCTAAATTATCTAGAAAGTATCTATCAATTAACCGATACCTAACTATAAGAGTATACTCGCAATTATACACAATTATTAATTATTCATGAGGACCTTCGAACTTTTACTAAGAGTGCTGATCGGAATATCTATACCTATCGCCAAATATATTTTGTTTGATACATACCTGTATTATACATATTATGTCCTTAAATAAATATTTAATTTTAAAAAATAACTCTAGACATTGACTGGGCGGCTACCAGGCCGGTATTTATCCGTACACGTTCCTTTAAAAAACAATACGCCGAACTACCAACCCATGATTAAAAATGCTTGCAGTGACTTACACCCTCGAGGTTATTTCCTGTGTATATACAGGAATAATAAATAATATAATTCAACTACACTATTTAGTAATTTACACAACAGCGATGAACGATAGCAGATAGGACCCTAAACTATTTACCTATTACTACAGCTCTCCATAAATTATTTTATCCATGAACAACTTCTTGGTACGAAATAATATATCGTTCATCTTTGTGAACTCACTATTTAATATTTATACTACCACCCACCTAAGTTAGACTGTACTTCAAAAGTCCATCAAATGTATTCTGTAGATCGGGGTGGTCAAACCCTTGGCCTTAGAAGATTTATGTTTGATAATTTTAGTGTTATAAGTGTGAAGAATTAAACAAAAATCTATGGTGGTGGGAGATGGTACGGCCGCAGTTCTAATCTATACATATTCTATATAAATTGATAACTTGTGTCTCATATATGTCATTATAATAATATGTCTGTGATGAAATAAAATACGAAAAAAAATATTTGTTATATATTTACTTAGTGTTTATAAATGAGTAAATTGACCCGCTAACTACAAAAGGTGGGATCAACTACCCTGCTGTGAATCATCAAAAACGACTTTTAAGCCTACATACATAAACCTAATTGTAAAAAAATCCAATCAATAATAACAAACTACAAAGTATAACACCACAATATTTTTATTAACTTTGAAATAGGTTTTTAAATAGGTTGAAAAACTATTATAGTTTTTAAAGAAGAAAAACATGCAGAAACAGTATATTCTGAGTATACCCACTTCAGTCTTACACCTTTAGCATCCTTTAATTCGAATTCACTTGATTCGTATTTAATTCATTCTAATTAGGGAACAATATTATACCAATTCATGTATGTCTAAAACCCTAACAATATAATATTTAAAATTAAAAATTTTTATAATACACTTCTAATAAATCCGTTTACAGTTTTCAGTTAAGACAGTGTTATTATGACTTTTGATAAACGAATATATTTGAAACAATACTGACAAATTCACTTCCATTGTGTACCTATATAATTTGTAAAGTTTTATAGCCCAAACCACACGAACTTACATAATAATTTTAAGTTATAATCTTAGAAACATGAATTTAGCATAATTTGTTTATGCAATAAAAAAGTAGATACTATTATAGAGTATGCTACAGCTACACTTGTATTAATATATTTTTGTATCTTTACGTTTGTAATTCCAAAAATAATCCATTACATTTGGTCTAAGACAAAAAAAAACATAATATAAAAATGAAAGAAAACAAAAACCGCCACGGCTGACCGTCTAGAATCTAGATAACCTTGATATAGTATTATTAAACAATAAACAGAATTTAAAAAAATGTTCGTGTTCAAAAAAGTTTATTGAGCTCATTTATTAAGTAGACAAAAATATACTGACTGTTCAACATAAAAACCGTTTATTCATTTCATTATTATATGATACATTTTTAGCCTAAAATCAATTTCGGAATATATTTCTCGGAATTGCGAACATGAGTTGTACCCATATTACATAACATAAAGACAATAAATAAAAAACACTGTGATTTTATGAAGCAGTGAGACGTGTAGTACCCTCTTAAGAGTTTTCAACAATTAATATTAATATATTTTTTTTATAAACGAGATAATTCTGAAAACGATATAATTACTTTTTAGCTACACATAGATTTTTTTTAACTTAAAAATACATGTATTGTCTTTTGCTTACTTTTTTTAACACGTATATAACCCAACTTGAATTCCGAACACCTTGAATTTGGACAAGAATAAAGATTTATCTATTTTACTAAGATGTTTATTCTAATTATTTAATTACAATGAAATTAATTCATTTTATCTGGATAACACTCAACTCAGAATCGTGTTTTGAATGCGATTTGTTGCATTTAAATTTTAAACAAAAATACTTTCATGGTCATTCAATGATATTTTGTAGCCAAGGATAGATTTATTTTTGAAGAACTAAAAGGGAAAATTGATTAGGTCATTACTCTTAAAAAAAAGAAGCATTTAAGTGAAGAAAAAACCAATGAAATATAATACTTAATAAGACTTATAAGTGTGCGTACTGCACGCTACATACACTTGTATTTGAATCGCAATGTGGCACAAAATATGTACCTAAAATATAATCCATACATCGGTCTCAATCATCATCACGTGGCCATTAATTTAATTTCCGTTTGGCGACCCATGTAGCGTTTATTTAACCAGGAATAATAATATTATTGTAGTTGTAATACGTAATCTGTACAACGATGCGACCATTCTGTCCACGAGTGGACAATAAATGTCCAAAAAAAAATGTTATATGCTTAATAAAAAATTAAACGATCTAAATAGTCTAAACCTAATGCCTACCAAAAAAAGCGAGGCCAAGGTCAAATGCCCTTGTTATTAATAACTGATTTACTCAAACCATCATAATATTATGTACTGCAACTTGAGATGACCAATACAGAAAACGTTGACCCGACAGCGTGAAAAAGTTCCATTACGAAAACAGCTTCGTAACAGATTATAATATACGTTTCTATAGGATACTCATAGGGACAGACTATTAATTTAACAAGTAAATATATTGAGTAAAATAAAATGTATCTCAACATTTTTTTTTCACCTATTATACTCAACTAAACTTAATGTGAATTAGTACATACTTGGAAACTTGTTTTATGCTTCGGCGAACCAAATGAATATTCAAATAACAATATTAGTCGTTTTTATATATTATTGCTAACCGTTAAATGGTTAGAAATTAAATTCGCCATAAAGCATAGAATATGAAGTAGTCCGAGTAATATTATAATAGGCTATTAAATATAATTACACAAGTGACTAGAGTAATTAAGCTGCTATGAGAGTAGGTAGTGCATGATTGCGTTTGTCGTCATTAACTCATTCAAATAAAGATTATTTTTCAAAAACTAGGAAGATAATTAATAATAGTTTATTCCCTTCGCAATACTCAATATCTCAGAGAAGTTTAGTCAAAGATGGTAATAAAATTAAAAAAACGTTCGAAAAAAATGTATTTGTTATATATACAGTGAAATCCACGCGTAGTCTGGGTGTTTTTTCAGGCAAATAAGTTAAATTTAACTCTATTTTTTTGGCATAGGTTGTGACAAGATATTAAATCGTCATTACATTATGTACACTTGTGCATACTGTGACGTTCCTTCGGACTTCTGTCAATCCCACGGTTTTGTATCCAGGAGAGCATAAAAATCTTATGAAAATCTAGGTTGTTTATTTTTACAAATTTCCTCACGGCCTAGTTTACTTTATTTACAAAAAAAAAACAATATAACCATGACAATGAAAACATTAACACTCAAAATAAATATAATAAATTTACAATAATTATGAACTACGGACAAGGCTTGATAAAAATAACAGTATGTACCTACTTAATAGTATACAAATTCGTGCACATCAAATTCATTCATTCTTGAAGTTTCTACAACACCTATGCTTACAGTTTTTTTTAAACTTTTTATTGTTATCAAATTTAATAGTACTTCATAACTACTAGTTAGATATAATTTTTCTAGTGAATTAGGTTCTACTGAGTTGTATATTGACTACCACAATACCTGTCATATAATATTTTAATAATTGCTATACAACATATTATTCGATGTTTTTTGGAAAAAATTAGATCTACCTATAACTAATAGAAAAATGAGTTAAATTATATAAATAAAATATAAAATAAGATCATTTAATCATTGTTTAATCATTTAATCATAATTCTATGCGTTGTTTTATATCATTGAATTAAAATGTACTACATCCATTATAGTGACATAGGTAGTTCTCAATTATTATCATATGGACTCGAAGCTTGATATACATCACAGCAACTTACCCAGTTATTCTTAGATTAAATCTTTCTTGGCTGCCATAAAAGTTTCCCGGCTTCAAATAGTATTCCAGTCTAATCCTGCTACTCCACCACCTTAAATGTATAGCCTATAGGCTATATTACCCGAAATGAATTTATTTGAACATTCTGGTATTGGAGTGGCTTAAATCATAAAACAAATCATTTTTCTAAATTTTGAAAAAATAAATAAGATGAGCCTTGTTTTGCTCTTAATACACAATTATTTATATTTTATTTTATATATATATACCCAATATATAAACACATAAAGCACAATAATTTAACAACATAAAAACGATTTTTCTTAAAAAATATTGTTTTAACCATCATTTAATGTAAAAAAAAAAATATACAATAATACCAATAAATTATATAC